AAGAACATGGGATGAGCAAGAGGGGGCTATGTATACATTTACAAGAATAAGTGACCGAGAAAAACTCAAATTTCTGGGCTTACATTGAATTGCCAATGCGTTTATATAACGCGTGGAATAAGTAAACACATTTTTGGTCAGATGGCGCCACTGATTTTTGACATACGTGATAACGCCACCTCCCCGTCGGGAATGTGAAACAGGACGATCGACGAGATAGCTAGCGATTCCATCCAGGTGTATTATCTCATCCTCAATTTCATTGTGGAGCCAACTTTCTTGTAGCATGATCACACCTAGTTGGGCATATTCCCGTTGCTTGATTAAGCTGGTGAGATCGGCCATNCAAACGTTAGAACTGAGAATGATGGGCACACACAAGCGGGAGGTGGTTTGCTTCCGAAGAGCAACTTTCCAACCGGCTCGATGCTTCCTCGGATTTTTCGAAAGCTTTCTGAACGTCCGTTTGCTTTTATTCCTTATAGTCTTCCCAAAAGAGATTGTCGCTGCATATTTGGTTCATTTGATGGAATGCATGAAATCACGAGTGTATTTGATCAAATTTGTCATTACTGTAGTAGCACAACAGTTGCCTTAGCAACAAAGGTAAAAGTTCACGCGAGTGATACAAAAGTCAGACACAGTTATGGTTATGCAGTGAATAATCCGATGATGGAAAAACGGATAGCACGGCCTAAATTCGAAGGCCCCGCCAGTATTTGTTGATTTTGATACGGGTTCATGATAACTTTTTGACATTAATTTCAGTATAGTTTATCACTAATCTCGCTCCTCACGGTAAAACACCACAACCGATTGCGTGATTCCGCCAAACCCAATAACCTACCGTTCTTGGCTGTTCATTTTCAGGGTAACGGATACCGTCTGGCGCATATTCTGCCCTCAAATTACCGAGACAATCATATGATTATTCAATTGCCACTTCATGAATCCGCGTTCCGTGTCCTAATCGAGCCGCCTTCCTCGGTTCCATTGGACAAAGTCCCGATCGGCCTAGCCCAAGGTGGTCAACCGCAACAGTCAGACTACGATGACACGGAGGATGAGTACGAGCGAATCGGGAGACCGGCCACTGTGTCAGACTTGATCACGGTATTGTCGAATCTGGATCGTCTCCTCATTAAAGCCAAATACATCAATGATCAGACCATGGTGGAGTAAGAAACTAGCGTTTTCTCCGCATACTCCCCCCACCCGATTTACCATATGTTTTCTTTTTTAGGCCAGTATTTGTGAGGAAAGTTAGTCATTCGTGGTCAAATGCGGAAGTTCGCTAACAACAACAGCTGAGGATTTAATACTATCCTCAAGCGATTGGCAGCAGGACAAATCTGTGACTTTGTTTTCTTTCAGCTAAGCGAACGGATCCACCATTTTAGTGAAGAAAAGAGTGAGTATAGTCAACTAAACCATTCTGGGTTAGTGCGTATCCCCGGATCAACTCAGTAAACATCAAAATATTCAATCTATCACATGCATTGTAATCAAGAAAATCCCCCAAAATTAGGCCGGGTTTGTTTCACTGACAGCTTACAAGTAATCAGATGCTTAATATGTCTAAACGCGCTCTAAACCATGATAAGATAGATAAGCGTCCTTTGATTCCCACCATAAATTTCCAATAATGGGTTGGTCCATATCATCTATTGAGAAAAAATCTAAAGAAAAATCGGAACAACTACCTGATTGGCAAGCGGGTAGTTCACTCGCATTTTACCGTTTAAGATTCGGACCGGTTGACGGTGCTCCCTCGATTTTAATTTCACGATTTCATTGCTCTGTACACGACAGAATCCAGCAAACAATCGCATCAGATCCTCTCCAAATCCCGCACTTGAAAACGACACAGAGGACAGAAGAAAAACAGATAAGTAGTTGAGAGTAAGCGCATTAGCTCAAAACTACTTGCAAGTAGGAATGTGGAATTGTTGTTTGATCACCATCCTTTAGGCTTCATTTTCAAATAAACAAACACACGCAGCCCAAATTCCCTCCAGTCGGGCATACACTCGTGAAGCACTACAGACCAGAATCGCTCTATTACTAGGGCTAATCTTTAGGAAATTTTCCTTCTTCCATCTGATTCGAACGAGCATTTTTTCTTTAAATTTTTTCAGACTGCGTTCTGTCAAACTTGAACGAGCCATTGGCGATCCGTTTGGCGGAATACCCAGTCTGGAAGAATGTATCTGTCCTCCCGGTCATGTGGGCACGTCTTGCGAATCATGCGCCCCCGGATACTGGCGTGACCCGAAACCGCAATCAAATGAGACTANGCGCTCCACACGCGCTCAACCGATGTGTGTACCTTGTGAATGTCATGGACATTCTTCACGATGTGATCAAAAGACCGGGAAATGCATAGTAAGTCTAATCGCCAGTTTTATCACACTCAATTTCTGTTAGTGCGTCTTCATGTTCGTGTTCGTATTTAAATAAGTAATATTTCAATGAAAAAAGTGAATTTGGATTTATTTAAGGTTTGTGAATGCTCAATCACCAACAAAATATCGTTTGTGTCGTTCGACAGATGTCTCGATATTTATTTTATAATAATCAATGAAACTACTGAAACGCTTCTCAGTAGTAAAACACATTATTCAAATAATAACCTTGAGACGAAGTTAAGATCGGTGGTCGCATTAGCTTTGCCTTGGTGATTAACCCCTACCCTCTCTCTTGGTTTTTTTTTTGTGGTATTGTGTCGTATTTTTTTGTTGTGATCAGAAAATTTTACCGGTTGAAAATTTGAGATAATAAGTCATCGGGCAAATGATTATTTTCAGATGTTTTCAGTCAGGTTTCTTTCTATCAGATAGTGGAAAAAGTGTTTACCGGATGACAGCCATTGGTTCAATTTAAGGTCGCTAATGGGAGTCGGAGGGTAGAGGATGTGCTTGCATGTGTATATGACCGTTTAATGTGTCAGTCGCTGTGACTTTCTTCACTTGGGTCAGGGGTCACGTCCTGTTCTGTCTTGGTTTTCACACTGGGCTAAGGAAATTGACGCACTGGGACCAGTCTTTTTTGGACACATAGGTTGGGGTAAAGTAAGCGGATGACAACCGCCTCGGCCATGCCTAATGTCCAAACTCGAACCGCTCTCCATCTACTGAGTTGAATGCAATAAACAACAGAGAATGCTTTCTCCGGTTCACAACCGTACTTGAGATGCAATCATCTCGGGTGGTGCTCCTTAGCACGTTGAGACAAACGCCTTACATTAAGACTTGATTTTTTCACACACACGTTTGAATTCAGACTGAGCTAATCAAATCATGATACAATAATCTTTATGAAAAGGAAAAACGTTCCGTGATTTGCATGTGAGCGGAATACTGCCGGGTTACCCGGACCAAAGCAGGTGATTTTTTCTTGAGGAATCCACAACCGAAGCCTTTGGTTATCCGAAGCCTGATACGGCAAGCAGCAAGGCGGTGTGGGAAAACCGCAATCCATTGAGGGCCGGTAACCACTGCCACAACCAGGAAGGTGTGTGTGTGTGGTTCGTACGCCTCCTCTTGGTTGGTTTGGAAACGGGGTTTTTGGCCAACTGGTCTAAGTGAACTTCCAGTGGCTCACCAATTCGGTTATAGCCCCAGATGTCGTCTTTTCCATCTCTCACTTTGGTGGGAAAACACCTCCACCACGAGAAGGCAATGAGTAAGGCTTCCTTAGCAGAGTCTATTTGAGACGCTTGGTCGTATGGGGGCATTTCGTGAGGTGCGAGGGAAGGGCGATCAGCCGCAACTCGAGACACCCAACCCCGACCATACTGAGACTTTTGGAGCTTCGGTTAATAATTCCCGTGTCTGTGGGATGCCATCTTCTAACTATATTGGTCACACTGAAGATATCTACTGTAGATGAGCTCAGTATAGCCACAAAACAGCTGTTCACGCAATTTTACTTCCAGTGCGAAGGGTCGCGTTCATCCTGAGCTCAAACCATACACTCACTCGTGAACCATCACAGACAAAGTGGCAGACTAAGACTCTGGAGGCAAGTTTGGATCAACCTCTGAACTCAGTCAGAACTATTTCTTACAATGCTCATTATCCGGCACGAAAGTCTTTATTTTCATCGTTTCTCCGATTCCCGCGTATCGCTCCCCCCCCCACGCCACAAAAATAGGATTGTCAACATCATACATCCGGTGACAAATGCGATCAGTGTGCTCCCGGTTACTATGGCGATCCGCGATCAGGTAGTCCGACAGCGTGTCGACCTTGCGAATGTCCAAGCTTGAACAATCAGAAAACGCAGTCGTGTTTTGCGCACGAACGTGACCCGCGAGTTGAAGCAGCGCTAGAAGTGGAGGACAAGCCGTATGTGTGTTTAGACTGCGAAGACAAGTGAGTATGCACCCAATGTGCCCCTCTCCCTGCACTTTATTTATTTAAAAGAAAACTATTAATTCAACCTTCGTTTGAATGGAGCCCCCTCCCCAAGCCAAAACCATCCTTCGACCGATCGTCGGGTTAATGATCGGTGTTTATACGTTACGCAGATCCGAAATGGTTGTTCAGCTAGCTAATCCCGAATATTTTATTATTTCAATTTATTAATCGATTGGGAACGACCATCCTTCAGATTTCACCTTCACGTACATTCCTTATCTCCTCCAGTCAATCATACACTCGCAAGCACTAGGCTTGAGTTTCGGTCTTATTAGAGCTCATTAGTAGTGCATATCCACTGTCTCATCTGGGATTTGAACCCCGGACTCACTGTGCACAGAAGGCGTGTGCCTTAACACTACGCCATCTCATTTTTGGGCGGAGCAGAACTGCCACTGCATATTTGTTAACGTGTTGTCTTCAGATAAAATCAGTCAGTTTAATTTGGCCCGACCGCAACGAAGGGAGACAAACAGTTGACTATCTGGTAATTCCGGCCTAAAGTTTACAAAGTAAGGAAAGAAGGGAACCGAAAACTAAAAGGGCTACTATGTGATGCAAAGAAATGAGGAGTGTTAGATGACGACAGACGAGTTCGAATAGATGACCTTCTTGGGTAACGTGTAGTTAACCAAAACCTCTTGATTACCACTGTCCATTACAAAATGGCAACCGTAAACTGCACATTGATCCAGATAAATCGAGAAAAGTTACTGAGTACTACAAACTCGCTTCATGCGTAACAGGATACAAATTGACGGTTCGTTAGTTGTTCTGTTCTTTCCTCGTTGGAGAGTTGAACCGTACCAGTTTATGATGTAACGCATTTATTATTTTCCATCTTCATTTGTATCGACAGCACCCGAGGTCGTTACTGTGAATTGTGCGCAGAAGGTTACTATGGACAACCGATTCTTGGAATACCTTGTAGAAAGTGTGATTGCGGTCGTGGAGCGATCGGGTGTAATGCGACCACCGGGGCTTGTATCTGCGGATTCAATACTGCCGGACCACGTTGTGATTCGTGTGCTGAGGGAACGCATGGAGATCCAATGCTTGGGCAAGCTTGTCGACGTCAGTTTAAGCAATATTTTATTGGGCTATGCACTACTTTGGTTAATTATATGGATTGAGTCAGCGTGTAACTGGAAAAATACAATATCCACAAAGTGATTTGATGTTTGCAACTAATAAGGATGGCTAATTTTGTGGGTTTCATCCAAATTGGTGAACTTTATGAGTTTACCTCCAGAAAGTTTCCCTTGATTTTAATGTGAAATTTATTTATTTGAGCATGCCCAAGAGATTTCATGAACCCGTTCTTTTCTCTGTACTTCGACTATTTAGCAGTATTTTCTATCAGTGAATTCATAAATTATTTAACTCGGAAATCCGTTTACTCCTTTATATTGGGAGTGAAATCGATTCGCAAAAGATGGTTCAAGAAGAGGTGTTAGTCAATGAAAACCACCATATGAGGTGTATTCAAGGCTTGAAATACACCTTGACTACTTACTAGTAGTATAAATATAAACATTACAAACGAGTGTGCCACCTATTGGTCAAGGTGTTTAAGGGCATCGAAAATAGATGACAGTAATTTTTTAAAAACACTACAAGACTCCAAAAGTATTACCGTAGGGTCACAACTTTTCCCTAACCTTTACGTTATGCGCTTCAGTCACTGAAAAATCACCACCCTCATTATTATTGTTATTAAAATTTTCCTCTACGGCACAATCATCACTAAACTTTTTATTTTGCATTTCATTATGCAATATGCATACTGATTAATCGGCCTTATGAATTGATCTCTGTGCATTCATATCTTGTTACTCAGCTTGCAATTGTCATGAGAAAGGAAGTGTGTCACCCACATGTCGTGCCGGTGACGGGCAATGCACATGCAAACCAGGCTACGAGGGAGTTCGTTGTGAACGGTGCGTCATTGGTCGTGGGAATGTGGAAGCTGGTTGTCCGCCTTGCCTTTGCCATCAGATGGGCACCAGGCCAAATGCCCATCCTCCGTGTGACCCAATAACCGGTCAGTGTCCCTGCAAACCGGGTGTTGGTGGAACATTGGATTGTTCTCAATGTAAACCTGGCTATTTCAATCTCGGACCGAGTGGATGTCAAGGTGAGAAATATTCAATTTGGGGGCACTCACATGTGCGGGTAGTGTTACACCATCTTCGAAGTGCTCGTCTGACTGCTTTCTGACTGTGTGCGAATCGGAAGAAGTAGGGAACGTGAACAATGCCAGAGTCAGTGAAAAGTCCGTCATGAGCACAACTTGTGCACAAAAGAGGTTGAAATGTAGTAGTTATAATGAATTAATGAATCTGGAACCAATCATGGTGCAATTGCAATACAACCTCGTTCCGGGCTTGCACAAGTCACCGAAGTAGGTTTATTGACGGTTAGCGTGTATGATTTTTTAACTGAAATGTGAGCTCCAGTGCTTGCAAAAGTTATACACGATACGAAATGGGCAAAGTCGATTACTCAAGGCACGGATCCTGCGCAACGCATCGCTTTCAGCAACATCGTGAAGACAGAACGCACAACGGCCGGGAGTGAACGAGATCTATAGTCATTGATAGCTTCTTAACAGATCGATAAAATCGATAACAACGAACACGTAACTTCAAACAAGGGAGTGGAGGTCAGTCACCGTTTAGGGAACTTTTCTGGATTGTTAGGATGTCAGGTGAAGCCTGAAACAAAAAGACAAAGGATACTCTGTTCTATGGAGTATGATTCGCCCCGTGCACTTTCAGTTTCATTACGCGGAATAATCTACCCTCCCTCGCTATTCCTATTCTCGTCTACGCGAGGCGATACAAGGCAAAAAGGACAAAATGAACTATCCTGACGGGAAGAAATCAATGATAGGCCAATTCGTTGTGAGATGGGGCAGTTTACAGTTTGCTTGTATGTCCCGGTTGCATTGGGAGGTCAAACTGGTTACATTGATTATACTGAGCCGTCACAACGCATTAAATCATGCTCGGATTTCGTGATCAGTCGGTGAACATTGTTCTCTAAATCTCAACATATAATTTCTGGGTGAGAATCATCATCTATCGCGTCGTGCATCATTCGCAATTGCGGATTCCGCTTGAAAGAAACCACGTGGATGTCAGCAGATGACGTGGAAACGAGGCATGACAAAATGCACAAAGAGATTAGGTAGAATAGGTGTCTCCCGTCTTCCAGGTTGGGGTCCGAAAGACTCTGCAACTGGTTGGTAGGAGATACTGAAGAATATGGCAATTAGACGTTCTTGTTGTCATTTCTTATCAGGTCAGAATACTAAAAAATGTGTGTATACACAATTCAGTTGTGTGTTCTGCGTGTTGATCTCAGTAATTCACTTTATTTGCCTCCNTCCAATTTGGTCAAATCCCTCCGTTAATTCCTTTTCTGCGGAATTAGAAGGACTGCCTTCTTGTGTTAAACCTAGCGACAAGTGACGCGCAAAGTTCCGGTTCCAATGCAGTGAAAACCAGGACTGTCTCGTGATACGGTACTATTGATGCAAATTAATTAATAACAAGATAAATAATATACAAACCTTGACTCGTGATGTATCTGAGTTAGGACGGCCGTCAAGGCAATTCCAGATATAAGTGCATCAAATAGGAACAGTACAGTGCTCGGCTTTGCCGAAATACACCTTACAATCAAGGTGCATCATAAGGGGACAGGTGACCGCTTTGTCAAACAGAGAATGTGTTCAAAGTATACGGAGTCAAACAAAATAAGCCTAGTCAAGCAGTGACATGAAGCTCCCTGAGGATGAGCCAATCATAAGAGAGTTGGGCACCCACCATTCGACCTCTCAACAAACAACGAAAGGCGTGCGTGCGTGCATGCACTGGTGTTTCTGTGACTTGAACAGGTGACTCCCAAGGAGCCATCAAAACAGGTCACATATGCGTAGGTGGTGAAATAATTTGTATATCGATTGTGAAAAGTTCAGTAGCCTCGGTGGGATTCGAACCCACGCATGGACGCCGCCCACGCTTCGTACGCTCATTCGGTGGACTCCGGTGAATTCTAAAGAAAGCCTGTCGGGGCAGGCAGCTAACTTGCTACCTGGTGGATGCCACACGCCTCTGTAAGTTGGATGGATGAATTCGAATGTGAAAAGATCAGTGCTATCGGTGTGGTCTCGTAGCTCAGCTGATAGAGCATGCGCGTACAAAGCGTAGGCGGCGTCCATGCGTGGGTTCGAATCCCACCGAGGCTACTGAACTTTTCACAATCCACATACAAACTTCAAATCTGCCAAACAACAATTTGAACGGTTAAAAAATTGATAAATGATAGGCGGTGAACCGGTACGGAACAAGGATAGACGAAACATAGGGACAATAGAGATCACAAAAGAACTCGTATGGTTGAAGTCATACGAGTGAGCAGTGTGCGTATGTTTGCATGTCCATATACGAATCAGGGGCTGGGAGAAGTAAGCACTCGCTTGATTATGCAAGAAATCGATAACCAGAACAAAACGAATGTCAATGGAACAAATAAGAAGCGATAGAGTGGGTAATAAGACGAAAAAACATAAAATGATTCTGAGCAGAAGAATCAACACCCTCTCCATCTTGTGCTTCAACACATGATTTGTGTACATTGAGTGCTTGGCAGCGAAGTTCAACTAACTGTATCTCGCTGTACTAAGATTATGATGATCGGGTGAGTTCCGCAGGTTCACGATGCCCTCGCAACTATACCACTTAATTGATGCAACACACAGACCACCAAGAACGGACCGAGGCTGACTCACACGTCTCATGTTTATCGATCAAACAATGAATCGGAAAATGCGGATGGTTACCAAAGCGGAAGTTTAAGCCGCGAAAAGACAGTGAATTTGTTTTAACCAGATGGAGTACGAAAGCCGAACGCGGGGCAGGTACTTAAACGCAAGTCCACAAATACCATAGACTGGTTATCAGATCACACAAGAAACTGACTGTATGTCAGCTGTTCTTCAGTAAAATATATAATGATGATGTATGAATCGTAGGACATGTGGATGTCGTATGTCCGTGATAAGACTGACAAAACTAGGAGTTCCCCTTCAACATGTTCGATTTTGTTTGCCAACTGGGTAAATGAGCCTAGAGGTATGTGCTTTTTTCAAGTGTGTTCATCTCGCTGTTTGTTATTGATTTTTATTTTAACAAACGTCTGAATCCAGACTGTGCCTTACAAATCATGGTACAATTATCTTTATCAAAAAGAAAAACATTCCATGATTGGCTTGTGGGCAAAATACTACCACGTGGTCCAAGCCAAAGAAGATTAATTTTCTTGAGGATTCCACAACTGCAGCTTTCGGCTAGTCAAAGCCTGATCCGCAAGGAACCGGGGTGGTATGTGAAAACCGCAATCCATTGGGGTCCGGTGTCCAGTTCGTTGGATCATACGCCCTTCGGAAGGGGTCAAACGTCCAAGAAGCTCAATACACCTCGA